AACAGAATGACACTAGCTGTTTTAACACATCACCACCTACAGAATGGTACTAGCTGTGTTAACACATCACCACCTACAGAATGGTACTAGCTGTGTTAACACATCACCTACAGAATGGTACTAGCTGTGTTAACACATCACCACCTACAGAATGATACTAACTGTTTTAACACATCACCACCTACAGAATGGTACTAGCTATTTTAACACATTGCCACCAACAGAATGGTACTGTTTAACACATCACTGCCTATAGAATGGTACTAAGTGTGTTAATACACACAACTTTCTTATAAATATACATAACTACAATGATAGTTTGATAGTTTAAGAAAAATTATTTTTTGAATATCTTCATTGCAGCTGTTCTTAGTAAACTCTCGTGTATGTTTCGTTAGAAACATTTTACAAATTAATATAATTAAACACCCATGTGATCAGCCTGCTGTTAAAAGCAGCTGAGCCAGGATGTCTCAGTCACCTTCTTTTTTTTAAATCTGTTTAAATAAAAAAAATTATTTTTGCCATACATAAATAACTGAACTTATAATGTTAAAATTTTCTTTCTTATTAAAAATCTAAGTTACTATTAGTTTTGGTTTATGTTATTGGTCTTGTCAAATTAAAGCTGATTTTGAAGTCTTGAAACAGTTGCTAGGTGTTCTAAGAACCCATATCCAGTGCTAACAAAGTTTTTTTTTTCCAGTAGTAGGGCCTTTCAGAAGAAGAGTTGTCACTAGTTAAGTGGTTTCTTAAAGAAGATGGAAAGCTGACTAGCCTTCTCTATTTGAAAAGAATATTATGATCGGAAGTTTCTGATGACTGACCCTTTTGTTAGCTTGCAGATATCTCCAGGTTGTATGTGGAGGCCGGGTTCATCCCACACTGAAATATTGATAGAAGCTGACCTATCTGCCACTTTACACGTCCGGACCACGTGTCCTTCTTTGGTTGTTATTGGCTGACCTGTAGCACAACAAAAATATCCATTTACTTTCTCTGTGTGTAGCTCACATAAAGCCATATTTCTACTTAAATGATGTGTAGTTACTCAAACTATTGAGATTAAGTGTGTTCACAAAAACAAATGATTGAGGTGGTTTTGAATATCTAATCCACAAAATAAGAAAAAATCTTTATTCAACAGACTATAGATTATCTTCATTCTCAGATACGATACATAACCACACACTTGACTGAAAATTTGTGTATCCAGATTTTTCTCTTTTTTTTTTTGCCGATTGGTAATTATTTGAGATTTAAAAAAGCGATTAGTTTACAGGAGGGGTCACCTGTTTTAACCACTCACACCTTGTAGTGTGTTGTCTGTCAGTCAATCAGTAAACACTAAAATGATATCACATAAGGGACACTTAACACTGTAATTTGTACTATCAAAACATCAGTAAAATATGTGCATGCCATGAATCACAAGAAATATACATTCTGTACACTATGACATATGAACTTCAAAAGCATGAAATATTGGTTACTCTTAATTTTGGTTTTATTTACTCTTGAAAGAGAAGAGTTTTTGGGATTCTGCACAAGTACATCTAGCTATACTAACTTCTTCTTGATTATTTCAAGTGATCAGTATTTCTCTCCTATCATATTTTATAGCAGGAAGTATTCACTATACAATCCTATCCTTTCAGAAACAAATATCAAAAAATGTATCAATACTTCTAATAAACTTATAACTTAAAGGAATTAAAACTAATTAAAATGTTTTGAGGAAAGATTCAAGAACTATAATCAAT